AGATGAGTCTTCTTGACTTCAAGGCCAGCTTCCCCACCTTGCTGCCCCAGCATTTCCTCTTCACCCCTCTAATCTGTGTTATTGTGTATGTGGCATTCTCTTGGTCTCCCTATTATCCACAGGTAGTCCACTTCCATTATAAGAATCCTAAAATTCCTTTAGTAGATCATAACCTCCTATCATTTTCTCTCTCCCTATGCCTTCTCCTCTCTCCAAGATCTACATTTCATTCTCACTATGACCTCCACCTCTAAGTCCTTTTTTACCTCCAGGCTACAACCCTTACTCTGACTTCATTTTCGCCCTCTTACCAATCTTGACCCTATAGTTAACCATTTCAATGTTACAGTGCCCTCTACTCTCAAATCCCCTACCCTGTAGTCCCTCCTCCCATGTAGGACCCTGCCCCTGATGGCATTTAAAGCTTCTCTAGACTTAAGCTGAACCTTTCCATCTCATCTCTGCCAAATCTACACCTGGAGGGCAGGCTAGTAGAGTCATAGGATTATAGATCATTAGAGCCAGAGACGTTAGTGATTACCTAGTCCAGCCATTTTATAGATGAGAAAACTGAGACCTAAAGAGAGTGGTTTGCCCAAGGTTGCCCAGTAAAATCCAGGATTCTAACAGACACTGTGACTCCAAGTCCCTCAATTCCCACCACACCACACCCTGCAGACCCCGTTATGTTCCCTTCATCTTCAAGTTCAGACGTAACAGGTCAGGTTCATGCCTGGACCAGGGTCTGAGCTCACTTCAAGGTTGTGGCCAGACTAATACTGCTGTGGATTTACGTGGCATCGTTGAGTCTCTTTGACCTTCTTCCTCCTCTGTCCCAGTTCACTCATTTGTAACCCCTTTAAAAATTTTTTTATTGATGCCTTTTTAAGGAAAATCATGCTCATTTCCAAATATATTCCTTCCCCATAGCTCTATTCCTTGTGATCAAGATTAAAGGGGGAAAAAAGGCAGTTCAGCAAAACCACCACATATGCAACATCCCATACTTAGAGCCCCCTCCCTCCTTCCTTAATGAAGGCAGAAAGGTGTATTTTCTCAGCTCTTCTCTTGGTCATTGCAATTACACCGCCTTGAGTTTCCATCTATTGCCCCTTCCGAGTTCACTGCCCTAGGCATTATGTAGAGTTTTCCTGGTTCTCCATATTTTGCTGTGTATCCCATCTTACCTTCTCTAAACTGTTTATTCAGCCTTTTCTTACAGCACAATCATGTCCTGTTATATTTGTGTATCAACTGGCACCTACTTTGCTTCTGGTCTGCTGCTTTGAATATGTTGGTGGTCATGGGGCTTGCTTAGGTACTGGATGGAGCCCAGATGGAGCGCCACGGCTTCTTGCTTCTGCCTGCTCCCCAGGACCTAATCCTTTCATTCTAATCCTTGCCGTTTCTCAATTCAGATTTCTCCTGAGATTCTACCTCAGTTGCTCCAATGTGGCCGACCTTCTCCTGTTGCCAGCGGCAAGCATACCCCTGCCCCCACTCCAATCTCCACCAGTCAATCATCTCTTACCAGCTGTTTCTTCACAGTACCCCCTCCCAGCCTACTCCACCTGCCACGGACCCTGGGAGTCAAAAGTTACATGGGAAAATATTTCAGAGCAGTCTAAGGGGGACAGTCCCTGAAGGTGCCCTCCCTAAGGTGATGAGTGGTGGCAAATATGTTGAGGTGAAGGGAAGCTGCCCTTGGACTCAGATCAAAGCCGCAGGGAGGCCTCGAAGGACGCAAATGGTTCTCTTTGATGTCTTCTCACCACCTGTGCTGGGATCAGCGCCACTACTGGGCCCATTCCCCTCCCCTCTCAGGTAGTCTGGGCTCTCCAAATAGCTCTGACTGAACATAATGGCATTGGACCAATTGCACACACACGGGGGCCTTCCTGGAAAGCAGTGTGCAAATCAAAGGAGGTAGATTTTTGAATCTTGTTTTCCTACTGACTTCTACCCAATTTTGCAGATGTGCTCCCATTTTAAAAGGCCGCTGGCCCCAAGACAAAATAAAAATCACATTTGAGAGCTTTAAAAAACTGAGGTTTAATTAAGGCAAACCATTGTCCGATAAAATATTCATCACAATAAGTCACAGATGAATACAGGAGCTGAGGATGGTGGTGAGACCCAATAGCTACAGCTGCCTGGGCCACGATTTGCATTCCAGTTAAACTTGGAGTAGTATAAAAAGCCTGTGGAAGAGAGGGGAAGCCAGGCATAGATCCCATTGCTACCTCTTAAATCCTCATTTTCTCCTCTTATTTTGCTTTGTTGTAACTCCAGCCCTGGAGGCTGGCAAAGAGAAGGAAATGAGGCTTCCCTTGATCCTTCCAACCAGAGGTAGTCTCAATCTCATCTCACAGCACATCTCTCTGTACTAGAATCCACTTTGTTCGACCTGGGTCTCTGGAGGGAAGCTGACTGTTCGGGTGAACATGGTGCTGGAAGCCTTGAATGCCAGGCAGAGTTTAGGCAAGGCAGTTGGCAAAAAAGGAATGAGGGTCTTGAGCCGGGGAGTAATATGACGAAAGTGTCATTTAAAAAAAATTAAGTCTGGCTTAAGGGTGCAGGACAGATGGGAGGGAAGAAAGATGGAAAGCGGAGGGATTAGCTAGAAGGTGGTCCCAGTAAACCAGGCACATGACAGTAAGGGTCTGGGCTAACTGGAATGTTCAAGGAACAGGGAACTACAGTGAGCTGAATTTTCGGAGTAAGTGAGGATTAGAGCAGAAAACCCTTTCTGCCTCAACCTCTGCTGAAAATCTTCCTAAAATGTGGTAGTAATTTCTTGACTTGAGTTGGGAGTGTGATATGGCGGAAAAGGCAGTGTGAGTTTGGAGTCGAGAACCTACTTGCATTAAAATCTCCATTTTGACCTCTTTGGGACTCAGTTTCCTTATCTGTGAAATGAGGGCACTGGGCTAGCCGGAGGTGTCAAACTTGCTGCCCCTAACACTCCACGGCGTGGCAGGAACAATATTAAAATGTAACCAGGAAATGTTTAACAAAATAAATATGCAAGGTAGGGAAGGTTAATTTATGGTTTTGTAAGTTAACATCCATTTCTATTTGAGTTTGGCACCACGAGGCTAGCCAATTTCTAAGGTCCCTTCTGGCTTTGGACCTATGATTCAATGAATACAGTACAGGCCCCACTTTTCCGTCTTCCTTAACGTCTGTGCTGTGCCATTCAAGGCTCGCTGACTGTCCTGTACATCCCTGGGGGTTACGTCTCCTCGCCTCAATGCACTAGAGCCCCACTGCTCAGCTTCGCCATTTCCAATCCATTTTTCTCGGGATGCCCTAATGAAAGTAGTTTCATAAGGCCTCTCAGAATGCTGGAGCCAGAAGGAACCCTAGGGAATATCTAATCCAATCTGATTTTACAGAAGAAATTGGGACCCAGGGAGAAGGGACTTATCCAAGGTCATACAGTCAAGTGTACTTTTCAGCACTGTTCCATCCTGCCTTATCTTCCCAAACATGATAAATGCCTTCAAGGGAGGAGCTGCCTCTCCTTATTCTCCTGTCACCCTCAGCACCATGCTTAGCCCCGCTGATCTCTGGTAGAGAAGGGGTCTTTGTGATTCTGCACAGGTTGTCCTGCACACCTGCTCACCTGCACTTGCTGAAATGCTTCTCTCCTTTCAAGGCTTAACTCCGGTGTGCCTCCCTCCATCATCCTTGCCTGCTACTGACTCGGATGTTCCTAAAGCACTACGTTATCCAGGCCTCTTCTTTGCCCCATCATCTTCCACCTTGCCATCCCACTTATTGCTATATGCCATCCCCACCCAGGAGACTGACTGGAAGCTCTTTGAAGGCAGAGGCTATGGTTGGCTTCTTGTTTTGTTTTGCTTCGGTATTTTCACTGACTCCCTAGAACAGCACGGTGACCAAAGTAGGAACCTAATAACTGTTCAGTTAAACGAGCACCTGTCAATGGGCCACATAGCCCAAATCTCATACTCCCCTTCATACTACAGTGGCTTTTATTCAACTTATTTCTTTATGTCAAGAAAGGCAGCTCTGAAGCCAGCTCTTTCTAATGGGAATGTTTGATTCTGCCTGGACCCTGCATGGGGTGCAAGAGTGGGGAGGTCTCTCTTCTCCTCTGCACCAGAGCCCCCCTGCTCAGCTTTGCCACTTCCAATCTACTTTTCTCAGGACCCCCTAACGACAGACCTGTGTAATCTTCCCTGGAGGGGCACAGCGGGTTTCTGCAGTGACCTTGTCCTGATATGTTCAATCTGATGTTCTCAGGCATCACCAGGGAGTACCTGGTGTGAAAAGAGCCAGCAGGAAGGGCTTGTTATGAGGCCAAGCAAACAGCATTTGATGGGGGTACTAGGGAGAGCTCCCCGGTCCGTGTGCATTGCTCTGAGCTTCCTGCTCATCTCTTTACGGGGAATAGAAAGGATGAGCCAAGGTTCTGATGGAGCCAGCACTGGGGGCCATGGGGTGATACGACCAAGAAGCACAATGTTCAACTCAATAAACATTTTTAAAGAGCCTACTGTGTGAAAGCTTCTCTTCTCAGCTATACTGGCAGAACTGGAAGGGTCTGAGCAGAGATGTCAATGTTGGCATCACTCTATCACCTAACAAGTATGTAGTGAGTGCGTCCTCAGTGCCCAGCATGCTGCTGAGGCTAAGAAGGAGGAAGCAAACAAGCCTTCCCCCACAACCACGGCACATCACCACCCCCAGAATGCTGGGAGATCAGCTCAATTCAGCTCCTGCTCCTCCCCCCACCCCCCAGGCACACTTCTACTCAGCTTGCTTTGTGTTGAACTACCCACCGTCCCCCATGCTGTCCTGTAACATAGCGTTCTTGCAGAACCCATGTGCAGGGTAAGGTAGGTTCTGTCTATGACATACCCTCTCTGCCCTCAAAGAGCTTATGGTCAAATTTTTTTTTTTTTTTGGTGAGGCAATTGGGGTTAAGTGACTTGCCCAGAGTCACTCAGCTAGTGAGTGGTATGTGTCTGAGGACAGATTTGAACTCAGGTCCTACTGACTCTAGGGCTGGTGCTCTATCCACTGCGCCACCTAGCTGCCTCGAGCTTATGGTCAAATTTACACACAAAACAAGGAACCACCAATATGAAAGCTGTATATAATTAAGGGCTGCTAGATTGTGTGGTAAATGTGACTCAGGAAATCCAGGAATGAAGACTTCAGTTTCATCCTATGCAGAGGCAAGGATGGACTAGGGGGGACACTGAGGTACCATCCAAACAATGGGGTTTGGGAATCTATCGGTTTCATGAAAAAAATCAACCAACAGCAGCCAGGTGTTCAACTTGTCTCTGCCATCCTTGGCGGCAGGCCTATAGAAACTAGAGCTACCTGCATGGGGACAAGTTCTAGAGGGGTAACGAGACTTTGTGATGGGACAGATGCAGCCACACAGCTTCGGCAGCCCTGGCACCGGCTCCTTTGCTCGCTCGGTCATGGTTCTGGATTCTAGGTTCTAGAGCCAGTTCTACCTCAACCCCAGGCTGTTTCTCCCTTTCTGTTGACCACAACCTTATGTTGGACCAGACCCAAGCAAGCAGGCCTGTCAAAAGGGAATCCTTTCACGAGGAGAAAGGACAAGGCAGACCAGAGCCCCAGGGACAGAACAGACCTGAAAGCATCTCGGTCCATGCAACCCTTTAATGAGGCATAACTTTCCAATGGCCACATTGTGGTTCTTAGTCTGAACCAATGCAGGTCTATCTAACAAAAGGAAGAAGCTGTAATCAAGTCCATGTGGAATTTGTATTGTCAACTTTATGGATGTTCCAGGTCCAACCAGTAGGTAACCAGTCTAGTTACCCTCGGCACTCTAACTGACGATTTTATATCTGGACAATTGAGAAGAAATTTGATTTAGCTTTGGGAACCCCTTGGCCTCCGCTGTCATCTCTAGCACGGATGGTCTCTTTCTTCCTTGTGTGTGTGTGCCTTGGCGCACATACAGAGGAAGTGCCTGGAATCAGATCTCTTCCTTCATTTCTGAGCCTGGCCCAAGCCTGACCAGCTCTGGGACATTCTATCACAATATGACAGATAATTAACCACCTCACTCAGTGACGATTCCCTAAATCCCAAATCCTGCTAATGCCTCCCTCTGTGCCAGACCCTCCCTTTTTTCCTGAGGATTCTAGGGACACCAATGGTGCTAAGCAGATCTCTGGAGCAGGTGCTGCTGAGTGAAGCAGGAAGTAGGCATGGAGCCTTTCCCCTACACTCTCGTTATTAGAAGAGGCGGCCTCTCCCACAACCACCTGGTTCTACCAGAGCTGGCTGGCGTCTCCTTTCACCCAAGAAGGCACCGCACATGGCCCTCCACATGGAGGAATGCAGTCTCCCTTCCAATAAGGTCCTGCCACTGGCCTACTGAGGAGGCAAAGGGAGCAAGGAAAGAGGCAGTTCACCTCAGGCCCCCTTCTTTCTCCTGTTTCTCTGCTTCCACCTGGCTGAGGGCAGGGATCCCACGGACCTCCTGTTGTCTAGGGCACCCAGCACCGCTCCATTAGTCAGTCAACAGGCAGCAACGCTCTTCTTTCTCAATAAGCCAGCAGCCGTCTGACTCTCTCAAGGCCCTGGGGTGCTCCATGAAGGAAAGTACTTTATTCCTCAGAGAGGATTTTAGTCACCATGGGAACACAACATCCATATTCCAGCCTCTGGTCCATGCAGAGCTGAAAGCTTTAAGAAGGTTGTAGAATCTGGGGCTTCTGAGGCAGATGAGAGAGACTATTTTAAAGAAGAGAATAAAGACTTCTCAGTCTCCTGGCTGCTCTGCTGACCTCCTGGTCCTACTTCCACATACACCACACTCAGAAGCAATGACTCATCCTCCAATGGTAACCCGTGCTTCCTAACCATCTAATTGCCTTCTCCCCAAAGCGGTTCCCTGTGATGGTCAAACCCCGACCCACAGGAGCTCCATAATTGATCCCTGTTACTTCCCCCTGAATTAGATTTCCAAACTGTCTTCTCCTCCTGCCTGCTTCTCCATCAGTCATCAATCCTACTGCAGGAGCTGGAGTAGATGGATTTGTGATTCACTCCCCTGAAATGCCACACATTTCTTGAGAAAATGTGTAGTCCCTCCGTTGGCAAGGGGACCATCAGCTCATAGTGGACATGTTAGGGCCATGATGAGAATGGATTATTTGGAATAACATCTAAGGAAGACAGGAGGAAGGGAGAAGCTGGGCTTGGTGGGAGGAAAGGGGCAATCCTCACTGGGGCAATATATAGCTGTATTCCTACTCAGAACCCTCTCTGGAACAAACAGATTCTACCACCCCTGCTCAGCAAATTCATTCAGTTTTAGAATGAAATGGAATTTGGAGAACCAATAATAGGTTTTCCAACAACCATTTGCCACTGCCAGATCCGTGAGAGCTCCCTTGGAGGGCCTGATCAGCAACAAGGAATGGATTCTGGGACCACTCTTGCTCAACACGCCACAGGCCCGACAATTCTGTTGAAGGCTACAAGGCTCCTGTCTGAATGCTTCTCTCTGCCAGAAATCTGGGAAGGCCTTTTCCCAAATGCTCACATGGAACCGAAATTTAAGTCTGAAATGCACAAGCCTTTCTATAGAACACAAATCCATTTGACCCCACTCTCTTGTCACCTCAATTATGAATCCTTTTTCTTTCATTCTCTCCCCCTTCAGCTAACTGGAGGCAATAGTTCATGGCCCACGGGCTGCTGCTTACACAAAGTGGCTGCCGGTGGATTCTCTGGGCTTTGGCACTAAGACCTCCTCAATGCACGTCATTCCATGATGCTGACGTTCCAGGTTCTTCCAGGTCACTCCCTGTGGGTCAAGTACTTTCTAACCCTGAGAGCTCAGGGGGACTGAAGAAACTTAAATGACTGCCAAGAATCGAAGGGGAAGCCACCGTGGGGCCTTCACATTAAGGCTAAAGCCAAGTCTTAAAGGTTTGAGCACCATCTTCTGGTCATTATCAGTCTTCAAGGCTGTCCCCTTTGAAAACTTCATTTATTTCAGGTTTACTGGATGAACCTGAGGGATATACACGCTGATGTGGGGTCATTCAGTTACCCTACCCAATATTCTTAGCTGTCTGGCCCTCAGAACTAGCCCAGGCTAAAGCAGCTGAGGCACTGCCCCCATGGAAGGGCCAGTCTGAAACTCCCATCTACAAAGTCAGCCAGCTCACGGACAGGTGTTAAGCCCCCACAGCCACAAACCGAGAGGCAGCAGCAAAAAAGGCTTCAAGCTAAACAAAACAGGCTTCTACTTCTGCGCACAGCTGTGCGCAATGCATTTGGAAGAAAAAGGGCTCTCTCTCCTGCTGGAGTTGGTTCTAGGAAGAGTGATGAAGTGGACATCGCTCTCCAGAGGGGCTCGAGGCCTGGGCCGTGGGGGGCGGATCACGGCTCAGCATGTAAACACTGCACGGGCAGAGTCCCACCTTTTGGCACAAGGAATGGAAGATAAATGCTAGGCACTCCCTCCAAACTGCAGGAACCTACATCCATCTAATTGCACTTCATAATGGGGTCAACAAACCATTAATTATCAGATTATATTTTAGGAAACGGAAGATAAAAGGCTTTGGGAAATGTAGTCATAGAGGGGCCGTGGCCCGGCAACAAGAGAGGCACATGGAATGGGCCCTGACAGCAGCCTGAGCCCCAAGGCTTCTGAGGACCCTTCACAAGGAGGCAAGGAGCGGGGGGCCTGTGGGCAGCCTCAGCTGCCTCTCACGCCACACTGGGGCAGAACTGACTGCACTCCTGCTAATTCAGATGCCTACAATGAAGGAGCGCGGCTCTCAGGGGACTCCTCTGCTCCTCCAGCGGTGGCTTTGGGCTTCCAGTTAGGGAGCCGGGGAGCTGGCACACATGAAGGGACAGCTCAAGGAGCTGGGGTGTCCCTAAGGCACATTCCAAAGAACATCCCAAAGGGTCAGGACAGAGCCCCTGGGGCTGCTTTGGCAGCTGGCATATCTCACATTTCATGTTCTCAATAGAAAATGCTCCAAACTCTTTGTTCTGGGAGAGAGAGATTACTGTACCGTGCGAGGTAAGAGCTGAGTGGGAAGAGAGCCCATTATTTTGATGGCCCAATGATAAAACAGTAAAGGCTGGCTTTGGTCATCATCTTGGGCAATGGGTTAGGGAAAGGTGCTAAGGCCCTGGGTTAAAGGGGAGCTTTTCTCCCCGCTCCTTGGACATCCTTTTAGTAAGAGGGTGGTGGGCTGCTGATGGCCTCCTGATCACCACTTACCAAGGCAGGACTGGAAGAATAAGCAGCACAAGGAGACCCTGGACTGGTGGTATCAGCAAGGAGGGGCAGAACATGCCCTAGGCGGGAGCTGCCTGATGCCCTACTAAGGCATTTCATATAAAGATTAAAAACCATGTGTTTGGCCTGACTTTGTTAGCCGCGTCTGGGATCAAGCTAAGCTTCCGTCTCCAACTTCCTTTCTCCGATGCTCATTAGGCACGGGTTGTGGAGGCGACACTTGATTTTAGGCTGATGTGTAACCAGACAACAAAGCAGCTGACCTGTGTCAGAGGCCAGGCTGCCTCCATGCCTCTGGGTGAGATGCCAGGCTCAGGGTCTCCATCCCAGACAGAGTGGGCTCTGTGGCCCAGGCTCCCCAGCCAGCATGCTCAGAACGCTCTCTGCAGGGCTAAGCGTGGCTCTCCCTGGCTCCCCCCCGACATCTCTTCTAGGCACTGGAGCACTTTCACTTGGCCTCTCCGCAGATGAGGGTCACGGTCCCATCCAGTAAGTCCTCCACCGTCACTGCCACCAGCTCTGAGCTGGCCTGCGGAGTCTGGGAGTCTGGCAAGGTGACAAACACCTGGGATCCAGCCAGAGGGGTCTGCTCCAAAGTGATCACCTGCTCAGCCGACGCTCCTGGCTCTGGAGCCTGGATCACCTGGAACAGACAACACACCGGGGCGCTGGAGAGGCCTGTGGGCAGCCTTTCTCTACCGTTTCTTAAGCTTGGTCTCATTTCAGCCTCACACTGTAATGATCATATTTGTTCTCTCACCTGAGGAGAGCAATTACAAAATGCATGGGCCTAATGGGAAATTCTGAGTCTAATACGCCAGTGATGCAACTGGGAAGGCACACAAACAATCTGAATAACTCTGCACATCAGAGTGCTCTAATTTGGCTCCATATGCCATCTCTGAGCACACAGACTGTCATTACATACTAGTGAGGACCCACACACAGGTTTTTTGGTGTCTCAAGAGCCAGACCACAGTTATTTCTACAACATGAAAGGCATACAATAGACAGTGGTCAGTCTCATCCACGGGTCTGATTCAGAACATGGACACATGGATTACTTTCCTCGGTTTTCCAAAATGGTGGTGGTCTCTACAGTGAGTACTGCTAATAAAGGGTGCACAAATCCAACTCTGACAGCAGGTAGGTGGTTCAGTGGATAGAGTGTCAGGCTTGGAGTCAGAAAGACTCATCTTCCTGAGTTCAAAGTTGGCCTCACACACTTACTAGCTGTGTGACCCTGGGCAAGTCACTTCCCCCTGTTTGCCTCAGTTTCCTCACCTGTAAAATAAGCTGGAGGAGGAAATGGCAAACCACTCCAGCATCTCTGCCAATAAAACCCAAATGGGGTCACAGAGAGTCAGACACGACTGAAAATGACTGAACAACAGAAGCCAACCTTGAAGGGCTCAGATCATAGGGCCAATCAAGTCACAGAAAGTAGGACTTAAGAGCTGAGAAAAAACCATAGAAATTATTGTGTCCAACTCCCTCATTTCATAAAGGAGGAAACTGAGCCCCAGAGAAGGCGAGTGACTTGTCCAACATTTCCTAGGTAGGAAACAGGCTTTCTTCCTTCAAATCCAGTCCTTTCCCCACTGATCATGCTGGCTCTCACGTCAAAGGCCCTCACAATCCCGAGGCACTTTTGAACCCTGTTGGGTGCACACACACAGACAATACTATTTCTTATGGGGCAGGAGACACACAGGGAACTAGAGAGAGGACAGTACAGTGCACACGCTCTGTAGGTCTTAGCCTGGCGTCTCTGTCTGGGGACTGTGATGAAGTGTTGAGTGTCCCCTGAGAAGCAGGGGCTGCCTCAGTCCTGTCTCAGTGTGACATTCATCTTGGCAAGGCATGTTCAAAGCCATCCAAGAGGTGAACATGATTCCTCATTCTTCTTGACTCGTGGTTATCTACAGTAACGCGACAAAGAATGACCCTGACTGAAAACCACAGATCCTCACTAGAGTTCCCCATAAAGACCATCAATCGATCAATAAAAGATTAATAGTAAAGGAAACCGGCAGAGAAGACCTGAAAAGCCAACGGACTGAGGAAACAGTCCTTGAAAAACCTTCAAGCGCATGGGTTCTTAGAATACCAAGTTAAAACAGAAGCCATCCATGCTTCTGTCTCCTCACTCTGCTCAGGTGTGCAGGGCTGGAGATGAAGTAGGAGGGAATGCTAATGGAAACCACACCACAAACAGAGGAAAGAAGTCAGGGAGATCAAGGTTCTACGTGCCACTGACGTGGCTGGTGGCAAACAGGAGGCGACCATACGACTTTATTCTCTGAGCTTCCGTCTCCTCCTTTGTGAAACGAAGATACGAATATCGGGGGTGCCAGCTTCACTGGGTCATTGGGAGGTTCAAATGACATAAAATAACCAAGCACCCGACAGATTTTAACTACTTCAGACATGCCAGCATTACCATCCATCACAAGTCACATTACCAATATAGTTTGCAAGGATCCTTTCTTCACATGCATTCTCGTCTGATCTTGACAACAGCCCTGTCTCGGAGGTGTTATCATCCTCTACTACAAATGAGGAAATGGAGGCTCAGAGGAGTCACACGGCCGGGCTAGGAAATGTCAGAGGTGGGATCTGAACCTCAGTTTTCCTGACTCTGAACCGAACGCTCTATCTATGTCTATTTCAACCCACTTCTCACCCTCAACAGTGGTGGGATCTAGACAAGCTAAAGGTCCAGTCACACCCTCCTAAGCTGGGAAGCACTTTAGTGGTCCCCTGGTCCAGCCAGTACAGGAATCTCTTCTATAATTTCCCCCACAAGAGGTCCCCTAGCCTCCAATACCTGCTAAGTGGGGCCGTTTACTTCTGGACCCTGCTCATTATCACAAAGGTTTTCCCGACATCAAGCTGAAGTCTGTGTCTCTGCCACCCCCACCCACTGCTCCCAGTCTTGCCCTCTGGAACTAAGCAGAAGATGGCTAAGCCCCCTTTTATAGGGCATTCTTGAATGCAAGTATCGGCTACTGCCCAAGTCTTCCCTTCTCTAAGTCAAACACGCACAGTTCCTTCAGCCCATCAGCAGATGCTGTGGTCAGTTGGTCAGTGTGGAGTTTATTCTGAAACATGGAGCTCAGAGTCGAACACAACCCATGACTCTGCTCTGCTCTCCTCCACCCCCATCTCACGTCAAGGCCGTCTCTCAATATTGTCCCTCTGGCCCACATACATTCTAAACCCTTGGTTCATCGGTGCTAGATGGTCAGATTCCCTTAGTTGTTGTGGATGGCCTGGGCATGAGGAGTCCACAGGCTGCAGAATGGAGTTCACCCACTTGTATAGCTTGTGACATTCCCCCACAAGACAGAGGGCAGGACTGGGGCAGTGCCCACCTATGCTGCAGTGGCAGCTCCCTCCCAGGGCAAGGAGAAACACTCATTCACTTGAACAGGGCCCTCCAGGGTACCACCTCCCTAGTCAAAGGTGACTTTGGCAGTCTCAGAGTAGGATACATGGGCTCAGGAACTCCTCAGCTCTGTATTTAAGGATCTCCACGTTTGGGTAATTGAAAAGAGGCATCGTGGTACAGTGGAAATCTGTGTTGGATTTAGAGTCAGGAAGACCAAGGGTTGGATCTGTTTCTGGTGCCTTCTCATGGCTGTGTGACTTAGCCTCCATGAGAGGACTGGGTCTTACGTAAAATGAGGATAAACAACAATCTCTTCATGAACAAGGCTGTTGTTAAGCCCAGATGAGATCACGTACAGAAAGAGCTCTGCACATGCACTAGACGTGCTCACTGTTATTATTCCAACCTACTTTCCCTCCTCTCTGCCTTTCTGTTGTCCCCGGTCCTCTCTGATAAGAGGGGTTTTTCTAGAACACTTTCCCCAGGCCTTCCTTTGCCTCCTCAATCACCACAGAACCCCAGATACTGATTTCGGACCAGACTCCTTTGAGAAGGCTGGAGAACGTGCCGCTGTTAATCTTCATACACCAGGCACCCAGCAGTGGATGGCGGGTGCCAGGCCCTTCCTGAGCCTGGAATGAGACAACATCAAGTGCATGAAGGACACAGGGAATCCAGCCCATGAGCCCGGGATGGTCTGCGATGCTGCCCTCACTCCTCAGACACTCCTTGGCATCCTGGCTTCTGAAGTCGGCACGCATCCGACTCTGCCCTTTGCAGAGCGGCCAGATCTGACGGGCTATTCTCAGTCTTTGTCCTCCTGACCTCTCTGCAGCACTGGACCCTGCTGACCATTCTCTCTCCTGGACATCCTCCCTTCCGAGTTTTCATTACACTGGTCTCTCCTGGTTCTCTTTCTACTCGTGTGATCCCTTATTCTCAGTCTTCTTTGGGGCTTCTCGGCCATATTTCTCCCGTCCTCTGGGTGTGCTCCAAGGCTGTTCTGGGCCCTCTTCTCTCTCTACACTCTACATGCAAATCTACCCGACTGACTCCCATCCTCCATCAGCTTTAGTGACTTCCTTCTGACTTCCTCTAGAATCAGACACAAACTCCTCACTTTGGCCAAGACCCTTCACAGACGGTCATTAGATATGACTCCCCATCCGGTAATCTGACTCCCTGTTCCTCACTCATGACACACCACTGCTAGTGTCTGGGCTTTCACACGGGCTGTCCCACAGAATGAACACGCTTCCACCCTGACGCACCCTCCCCATTGTCACGATTCTAAACCCGTGGCCACCACTGCGCAAACACTATTCTCCATCTCACGCTGACTGCTCCCTCCTCCCGTCCTCCTCAGCACGGCTCCTCTCGAAAGCCGTGCTCTCTGGAATCCTTGATGCATAGGTCAAGTGCGAGCCTGCCTCTTACATCTTCTCTTCTTGCTCCCTCTATATTCCTGCACTTGGAGACGAGGCTGGCTCTCTCCTGATGACAGAGCTTCCCTGGGCATCCTTCCCAGCGCTGGCTGCTCCTGCTCCCTGATGGACTCCCTGATAGTAGGAGAGCTGGAATAGTCCTTGCTCCCCAGTGCCACTTTCCATACCTCCCATATTTCTCTCCCCACCCCCCACCATCACACAATAACCTCTCCTCCTCTGAGGTTCATTCAATCCATATTTATCACCCAGTCAGGATTCTGGTTTGTTGTCTACTGGCCTCTCAGACATTCTCCTTCCTCGATGAGATCAGTGCCTCTCTCCTCAATCTGTGTCCTCATTTTAAAAGGCTTCAACATTCATATTCCCTCAAATACCTCAGCCTCCCAGTTCCTCCATCTACTCAACACCCATGACTTAATTCTACACTCCCCCCCCAGCCCACAGAGATGCCCATCTCAGAAGCCTCTGTTTAGCCCTTGTGTCTCTGCTGAGTCTCAGGCCTGCAATACCAACCAGACGCTTCAAACTGGACATCTCACAGACCTCTCAAACTCTCCACGTTCAGAACAGAAATCATGATCTTTCCCCTCCAAATACCTGCCTTTTCCAAACTTGCCTATTTTCATCACAGGGAATTATCCTCCGACTCTCCTAGGTCAGCAACCTTGAGGTTATCCTTGACCTCTTGCTCTCCCTCCACCTCACATATCAAATCCATTGCCACATCCTGTCCATCCCGTCATTTCACACCTGTGCATCATCCCCAGCACACTCTGCCCTCTCTCTGCTCCTATGATTGCCTCCCTAGCTCTGGCCTCCTCACTGGCCTCCCTGCCTCCACACAGCTGGCACAGACACTTGGCTAAAGCACAGATCCCCAGGGGCTCCCTATTCCCTCTAGGACAAATGCAAACTGCTCTCTGGTTTTTAAGCTCTTCAAGCCTGTCCCTCGCCTTTCCAGCCTCACTCTACGTCAATCCCCTTCCCACACTTTACAATCTAGCCCAAAGCAGCCTCTTCCCCCATCTCTGCACCCTTCCTCGGGCTGCCCCGGGTCTAGGACGTACTCCCTCCTCACCTCTTCCTTCAGGGTAGTGCTCAAACGCCCCCTTACACGGAGCCTTCGCAGCTTCCCCTGCTAACGAGCATAGCTAGCACAGCCTCCTTCTCCTCCATGCCTCATCTATTTTGGACTTCTTCTGCACGTGCTTATAGATGCGCCCCCGGCCTCCCCCAGTGGGCCGTTAGCTACGTGAGATCAAGGCTGCTTTACGTTCGCCTTTGTGTACCCCTCCCTCAGCACACGGTAGGCACTTAATAAATGCATGCTGCCTGCATCTTCTTGAACAGTCCGCTTACGGGCGTCCGCTTACTGTCCTCCTCTGTGGACTCATATGGCTGGAAAGGGCTGTGGGAGTTACCTGCACCATCTGGGTGGCGGCTGCTGCGACCTGGGCCTCCGTGACCACGACCTTCCCGTGTTCAGAGTCAAAGTGCGCCCCGAGCTGGGCCTGGGAGGTGAAGAGCTCTCCGCACACCTCGCAGGCGAACGTGCTCTCCGTCTGCCGGAAGTGTTCGGTGGCCACATGGTGCTGCAGGGCTCCAGGGAAGCGGAAGGAGGCTGCACAGTACAGGCACCTGAAGGGCTGGGAACCTGGGGGAGGAGGAGGGACAAGAGGCTGGGCGGCAAGGCGAGAGTGCCGGCGGCCTGGAGCAACTTCTACCCAAGAGGCAGTGCTTAAAGGAAGGGGGAGGAGGGAAGGGGAATGGACAGGCAGGGTGCCTGGGCCAGGGTCACTGACCTGAATGCCGGCACTTGGCATGAACCTGAAGCAAGGCCAGGGTAGGAAAGAGCTCCTGGCAGGTCTCACACTCATGGAACTTCACGTCTGGGGAGGAGACGAGAGAACGAGGAGGAATGCAGAGGGACAGCAGTGACCGTGAGCGCCCCCGGCAGTCCAGGGCAGGACACCGGAAGTCTGCCTGCATCTCCCCCTGACCCTGGGTGGGCGAGGGTGGCGGAGGGATCAGATCCGCAGGCTCCCCAGCCCCAGCCCCGCCCCAGCCTCACCCGCGTGCTCCGCCTGAACGTGCTTCTTGTGAGCGGCCGTGCTGGCGAAGGTTTTGTCGCAGGAGCTGCACTGCAGCGCAGAGAACTTGGAGGACCGGTGGTTCTGGGCAGCGAACACATCGGGGTGGTGGGTCCGGTTGTGATACCACAAACCAGACAATTGCTGTGCATGAGCGAGGGGAGGTACAGCCTCAGAACATGTTAGGAGGTGGGCAGACACGTGCTCTCTGTGCCCACGAGCCAGACTGGGCAGCTGGGGGTGGGCTCGGGTCCTGGGGTGGCGGGGGATGGCCCAGGGGCCCCCGCTGGACAGGGACTCACCTGCTCAGCTACCATCCCAGCATCCCAAGCCCTCAGAGCCTGTCCATCTTAACAAGGTCTGGGTTTTTCTTTTTCCAGGTCAAGTGTTTAGAGGGCATCTTAATTCAGATTAATGTGCTATTTTACTTAGTTAACAGTCCTATTGAAAAGCCAGACTCACAACTGAGCTAATGCCTCAGGAGTTATTTTTCCCACTCATATTAGTTCTACATCATTTGAAATTCCCCATAATCAAATGTGGCTTCGGGTACTTATTTGTCATGTGACCCTGGACAAGTCACTTGACCCGTCTCCCTCAGTTTTCTCCTCTGTAAAATGGGGATAATAACAGCCCCTACCTTGAAGGGTTGTTGTGAGGATCAAATGATCTGAAAGCGCTCAGCGCATCATCTGGCATACAGTAGGAACTACATAAATGCTTGTTCCCTTCTCTCCCCACGTTCTGACATTGATCTTGGCCTCAGTCCAAAGGCATCAAGACTCCTTCCCTCCCCTGACCCCAAAACTCTAACTACAGCCATTACACTCTACAGAACCCATACATTCAGCAGGTCTTATTGTTATCTCCTAACTAAAAAGCCTGGCTGAATTCCAGAGACAGGGGAACAGCAGCACAGCTGACTAATTTTTTGCCCCTGGTAAGCCTGGCAGTCTCTCTTCCATTCCCCTGTCCTGGGCCTGCTCTCCTCGGGGTATCTGGGTATCTCTGAACGAGCCAGCCTCTGCCCGCGGCTTAGCAGGACTACCCAAGTATCAGCCGCCAGGAGGATGACCATGGAGCTGCCAGCAGGCCAAAGACCAGCAGCCAGAAGGAGGGGCCCTCACCTGGTAGGCCTTGTCACAGATGCCGCAGCTGAAAGGCTTCCCTCGGACGTGGGTCACCATGTGTCGCTCCAGCAGGGACGGGGCACTGAAGATTTTCCCACACGTCGGGCAGGGATGGTACTCCTTGGAATGGACCTCGTGAATGTGATTTCGATGATCTTGCAGGGTAGGAAAACTCATCCGACACTTCTTGCAGTCATAGGGATCATCTATATCTGATGCCAGAGAACAAGGTAGGAGAAAAGGAAGGCAGAAAGTGAGTGAAAAGAAGAAAAGCCGCAGGTACTGAACAGTGAGAAAACAAGGAAATAAAACTCATAGCAGTCCATGTCACTGTTCCACTGAAAAATACTATATAAACCAAAATCCCAGGACTATGGCATGACCCCAGAGATCACCACATCGATTCCCTTGCCTCCAGCCAGGATAATACCAAGTCCTCCCACAGAGGAGACGACCCAACACTTCCACTCTTTCAAAGATGACTCCCAAAGGTGTTTCCACAGATGCCCAGGATGGCCTAGTCAACTGCCCAACAACTCTGCTGGCATGAAGCAGATGACCAAAATTCCTCAGGTCCTGGTCCTCCTACTCAACGTGACCCCAGCTTCCCAAGCTGTTGCTCACCTGGTTGGCCTCTCCACCTCCACCCCCCTGCCCCGGCCCCCCACCATCCATGGGCCCCAAGCCCACAATCCTGCTTTGCCACACATGCTGTGGAGCTGAAACTCCACTCTAGGCTACCAAAGCTTTCTTCCAATCAGGCTCACGCTCTCCTCTTCCATGTGCCTACATGCCTCTGTCCTTCCAAGCCCATGCCCTTGAGAAAGTCTCCCTGACTAGGAGAAGGACATGCATAGAACTTACAGCCACAACTAACTTGACAAAGGTGCCTTTCCCTTTACTTATGTAGGGATCAATATTCAAATCAATCAATCAATAAGCATTTACCAAACGCTTGCTATGTGCAAGGCACTGTGCCTGATTACTGAAGATAAAGAAATTTATTCTATAATCTCAATTAAGCATTCAAGAGGCATTTTAAAAATACAACTTGAAAAAATGCACAGTGCAGTGTGGGTAGAGTACAGCTAGTCTTGCGGTCAGAAGGAGTTTGAGTCCCGGCTCTGACATGTGGGAGCTGCACGGCCCTGGGTTGGACTCATACCTTCTCAGAATCCAGGTTTCCTCACCTTAAAGGGGACTCAAACCTTCCCACGGTAGTTGTGAAAAGCTTTTATAAACCCTGGAATATTCGGGAAACATCAGCCTTGGGGATGATTATAAATCACCTTCACTTCTCCTCTCTTCTATCGTCCCACTGCTCATAGCATGTTACCAGAATCCCTCCTTTGCACTGTCCCACTCTCCCCTGTCCCATAGTTATTTCTCTATCGGTCCTGCCTCTCACTAGACTCCGAGATCCTTGAGAGATGGCCTAGGTCACATCGATTGTTCATCTCCACACTTACAGCAAAGCCTTGCACCTAGTAGCAGCTTTTGATAAGCACTTGCTGAATTCAAATGACAGGGGCAGGTTTGGGAAAACATGGGCTTTCCCCGAAGCATAAAGGAAGCAACAGTAAATCTTTCCTTCTTCTACAGTGAACGAAATGCAGGCAGAACCTCATTTGAAGCGTTTGGTGGCCTATGCCTCCAGCACAGTCCTCCTCCATTCTTCCTTCTGGCACGGCAACCACGAGGCTCACCACACTGGCAAGGTGTCAGGACAGGCCCGCAGCATTCTGAGGACCACCATGGCAAGGCTCATCATCCTTAGAGGATAAATATATTTGGCCACACCAACTCAAAGTGATTTGGAGGGATAACGGTCTAGGCAGGCGGAAGGAATACCCGCACTAGTGAAAAAACAGATCTTTTCAAGTGAAAAGATGGGACATCAAAGTATTATAACAACAGGCTATTACTGTGTACTGAAAACTCACTGCTTTTACCGCCATGAGATAATAAGCTCCTTTCGCTCGGGCTGTTAACTCTGTATTTCTCACAGTCTTGCAAAACCCTTAATACATAAGTATCTGTGAATGGATTGAAATCAAATGTTCAAAGTGTCCTGTTACAATAACAAATTTGGGGGTGGGCTGTAGGCAGGAAAGAAAAAGGATTATTAGCTTTGCTCTGTTTGGCCCCAGAAAGCAGGACTGGGAGCACTGCATCCGAGTTTTAAAGAGGCAGATTCAGGCTTGGAAAATCTTAGAAGAAACAGTTCAAGCTTTCCTCCAAGGGAATAGGTTACATAAGCAGGCTATAAGTTTGGGTCCTCCTCAATGTAGGTTTTAAGTAAAGGCCAGTGGGTCATTTGTCAGGTTATTTTGTACAAGGGTGTCTTATTCAGGTATCACTGGGACCAGACACTGACCTCTGACCTTCAGTGAAAGACAAGAAGGTCAAGCAAGCAAGCTGTGAAAAGCAGATGGAGGCTTGTGACTGCAAAGGAACAGCAGTGGGGAGTGTAAACACTCGGTCCCCTTTGACTGTAACCACACATGAAATAACCAAAGAGACATGTGACTCAGAATGAAAACCTCCTCTTTCATCTAGAGGGAACGGTGCCGATGTGTGCAAGCTACAGATCTATCTTTTGCTTTTTCCAGCAGGGGTGAAGGCCCGTGTGGAAGCTGCCCTTGGGATAAAGCAGTGTCTCATTTTCCCATGCAGTCTGGGGGTCAAGGGAACCTCAGACTTTGGGCAATCTCTCTCACCAAGGGAAGCACTCCATGTACCAGGGAGATTATGTCCCATCCACAGCCTCTCATCCTGCGATCCTGGTGCAGGTTTTTCCATAAGTGTCCCACAAAGGATTGATTTACCCACTTCCCTGAAGGACCTGCTCTGGTCCTCCTCCTACTTTGCATGCTAAGGGCCATCGCAGGTCTTTACCAGACCAGCACAGGAGATCAGCTGAACCTTTGCTGATCCACCTCCTTTTCTGAATGTCTGTTTCCTAGATAATGCTGCTTCTGTGATTTCTTCAGCTGAAGTCACCATTGGTAATGTGCTGCAGAGGACACACACTCACCCTATGCCCAGAACAACCGAATGGCAGAGTTATTCAAGAATAGTTATTATTGTACCAAAAGGATCCCCCTTGGCCAGTAGACTGATTACTAAATGAGCAGATAGAGGGTTTTCCCTTCAAACAAAACTCATATCTGTGTCTAGGTTGACCAACAACAACAGTTGTTATTTACATAATGCCCTGCCCATGGGAAGGAAGTACTGCAGAGATGATGATGATGATTATTCTTTAACAGATGAGGAAGCCGAAGCGGAGATGAGGCGCGTTGTCCGTAGGGACATGGTTATTAAATGTCAAAAGTAGGACCTGAACTTGGGTGTTCCTGACTCTGAGTCCAGACCTTTTCCTCATTCTATGCTTGAACTGTCAGACGTGGAATTAGCCTCAGCCTCTAGAAACAAGCATCACAAGACATTTGATTTTATCTGTAATGTGGAGATGAACCCTGAGCTTTTCTCAGGAGCATAGGATGACAGACACTGGCGATGCGGCCTGCTTCCCCCAGACCCACCCCAGGCTGGAGGGCCATTAACATACATACTATGAAAGGTTCGCAGGTGGATGGAGAGGCCGTTGGCCTGTCGGAAGCCTTTGCCACACTCGCGGCAAACATACGGCTTATCTCCGGTGTGAGTACGCACGTGCCGAGACAGCTCGATTGACTGGGCAAACACAGCATCGCAGTACTGACAAGCGTACATCTTCCCTGAAAACAACAGGCAGATATTACAAACTAGATATCATGGAGGTGGCACGTGGCACCAGACATCTAGAGAGTCACATTATTGGGTAACAGGAACACAGGGACGTACACTGAAGGCTACCTTCAGACCCTCTAGCACTGGTCATGGGCTGAGATGGCCTCTGACAAGTTACAGAACCTTCCCACTCTGATCTGCCCTGCTAAATAAAAGCTAAGACAGATTCCATGATACAACCTGTGGGTGATTAATGAGCCATTAATAAGCACAGTTGCAGGTGAGGTGGAATCTAACTTTTTTATCCTATCACAACAGAAAACATTTGAGGAAGCAGCCACGCACTACAGCTCCCAAGACAAAGTCAGACTGTGCTAAGCCTAAGTGTGTCAGTGCTGGGACGGCTCCTAGAGCACAGATTATGAGAGGTAGCAGGAACCTCAGAGACCACCCACAGAGACTGCGACTGGCCCAAGAGCGCACGGTTGTTTGGCGGCCAGGAAGGAATAGCACAAAATGGATGCTGCATTTAGGGATATGCTCGCTCAAGGGTGAGAAACAGCAAACTAGAATCTTGGCAGGAACACCTTTCAGGTCTTTTGGAAACTCATGACACAATTTAGGCAAGCTGACTTTAAAATAGCATTAACAAAGCAAATGATTGTTAAGAAAATAAACTGTATATAAAAGTTCTTGGAGGAAATAGTGCATTACTGAAATGCTAGATTATGGAGGAGTAAAGATGGAAAGGGTATCATTACACAGACTAACACTGCAAAGAGTATTGCAAATTGTAGCAGTAAATCACAATAACCCACGGCAATTCTGAAATAGAGTATAAAATAAAATACTGCAAGAATCAGGACATTATTTAATCTACAAATGCTTCATAACTAGCCTCCTTGGCCCTCCCTCTCACCCACCCACACACACACACACACACACAAAACGTACATATTCTCATTCATCCAACCATGTGCCAAGGAAACATCATCATTATTAAGACCAAAGAATGGCAGAGGTCCTTTAGAGGCCATCTCTGCTCAATCACAACCTGCTACTTGCTGCCCAGCTAGGTAATCTTGGGCAGGATCATACGAATGGCTTTCTTTTGCAGACAATGAAATGAAGATGGTGAGAGGGCCCATGAGCTGCCCATGGTCCCTGGCTCGGCAGCAGCTGAGCTGGGACTCAGCCCTGGGCTCCACCTCTTTCTATGGGAGGAAGCTTTACCTTCAGCATGTTTCTTCTTGGTGTGATAAGCCAGGGCAGACGCCTGTGTGAACGTCATGAGGCAGTGCTTGCACATGAAAGGGCGATCCCCAGTGTGAAGGCGGAGATGGTTCTTCAGGGTTGAATTGGCTGCAAACTTGGCCCCGCATTCTTCACACGAGAAAGGCTTCTCATCAAAATGTTCTGTCAGCTTGTGGTACTGCATTCCTAGGAGAGCAACACAGAGACCAAGAGGGACCAAGGTATTTAGTCACCAGCAAAAGGACCCAGTAAATGTCTGTCCCTGACGTGGCAGGACAGCCTTGGAGAATGACTCCAGACCACCAGGAGCTACTGGACTGGCATTCCCAAAGTCATCTCTGAACCCTCCCCAGACCGTGCCCCTCATTGGAAACCGGCCGCCCAGGGTCTACGGCCACAGCTCTCAATGTTCTCCTCGGATTCTCTGTCGACTGGAAGGCCTATGGCTGCCGCCACCAGACTGATGGTTGTAGAGCCCAATACGGTGCGTGTCAGGTCCATGGCTCCCAACTACGTCTAGGACCAAACACAAGCACCTAAAGTCCTCAGCCTCCCTTTCCCAGCTCCCAGCACATGACAACCCTTCTTGTCATCTGGCTTTTCCTGACCTAGCTGCCAGGCCTTTCTTGACCCCCCCCCCCCCCCCCAATATTACTTGTACCTACTTTTTAGGCTTTTTGTACTTATTTCTCTGTTAGAGGTAGCATGGTATAGAGGAAAGACAGCACTTCTCAGAACCAGAAGGACATGGGTTCAAGTCTCACCTCCCACACAAACTGGTCACGCGACCTTGGGTAAATCCCTTAACTCAGACCCTCAGAATGAGAGAGCACACCTGGAGTTGGCAGGCTTTGAGGAACGCTGTCAGGCAAGGAACCCAGGCCCATTCCTGCTTCCTAGCCTACTTCTTGGTGTTTCCCCCCACTCCCAGAGTTCAGGTCAGGCTTTTGTCTTTGTATTTTCTATGTTTATCTTTGTTTCCTAGAAGCTGGATGCCACAGCGGCCAGAGTGACGGACCTGCACTCAGGGAGACCCAAGATCAAATCAAGGCCAAAGTATCAAACCAGAATTCCCCAATCGCCTCCCTCTATGGCTTGTTGTGAGCATCAAGAGAGATAGTCTACATAAGCACCCTGCACACCTTGAAGCACTATTCGAGGGCTCGCTTCTACCGTCTACTATTAGCTCCACTGCCCGGAACGATGCACGGCAGCTGCTTAAAAACTACAAATGCCGGTTGTGGAAAGAGCGTCGCTGTTTTTGGGCAAGGGTCTGTCACTTCATCCATAGACAGCCCTCTCAGTGTGGAAGCTCCTTGTACAAATACAGGTGTGAGGGGCCTAGGGAGCAGGGACTTGTCATCCCACAGAGGGGAAGTGACTTACTCAGGCCCACTGTGATAGTAAATGTGTGAGAAAGCTGGACCCCAGGTCTTCTGAATGCAAGTCCGTCCCTTTACGCCCGACCTCGCGCTGCCTCTACAGTTAACAACAACGAGAAGGCCACGGGGGAGTGGCATCTAGCAGGCCGAGGTCACCCGAGGACAGCCTAGCCCCAACCTGAAGGCATCCAATGTCCTGCACCCAAGACAAGACCGGATCTCGGGGAGGGGAGGGAGACTCATTCCCCTCCCCATCTCATCGGCCGACTCTACCAGAGGCGTGAGCAAACTCTCTGCCGCAGATGTCACAGGTCACAGGGAGCCTCCTCTTCTTCTTCTTCGGGGTGCCTGGTGGCCCGGCCCCACCGTGGGCCTCCTGCAGGTGTTTCTCCAGCTCCTTCTTGGAGGCCTTCATCTCGCCACATTCTCGGCATGGCACCTGCTTCCCCTGGGCCGCGCGACAGCGCTTCACGTGCACCTTGAGGCGGCAGTAGAAATGGAAGCTCTTGTCACAGGCCGTGCAGACAAAGCTCTTCTTGGGGGAGGGGGCGGCGCTGCCCTCCAGCTCCTCCAGCCCCGCCTCCTTCTCCTTAGCACTCCCTTCCCCAGGCTCAGCAGGACTCCCGGCCGACGCTCCTCCCTGCGCCTCCAGCACCTTCCACTGCTTGGGAGTACCCTGCTCCTTGTCCTTCATAAGGAGACCTGCGTGGGAGAAAACGGTCATTGTTCGGGGACTCTGGAGGTGCCAACTTCTCAGGGGGGAGTGGAGCCCACTTGGTTTCTAATGAAAATCGATTACAACGTCATCATCAGTTGTATTTTCTAACAAGCATGAATCGTATCCTTTTATATCCATGCCCCAAGCCTCTTTCAGGCATCAAGAGCATATAAAACAAACCGCTGCAGGAAGCGGTCGGCCCATCTCTGGGATGTGGGCTCCTGTCTCTGGTAAGGACACGGGCCGGGTGGGGGGGTGGAAGCCTCGTCTCACCTCAGGATGGTCCCTGCCCACCATCTCTTACCCAGGTTGCCCAGCTCCTGCAGGACTGCTTGCAGGTCTGGAAAGACCTCATGAAGGCTGCAGAGAAGGCGGCAGATCTCCATGGTGGGGAGCGACTTTTCCTGGGCTCTGCTGAGAGCTGCTTTCAGGGAAGCTTCAGGGCTGGCTGGCTCACAGGAAACACTCAGAATCTAAATGAGCACCGGGGGACAGAAGTTGTTGGTGAGCACCGATGGGCTCTGTCCTCTGTTTTCAATTTGGTTTTTCTTGTCTCTTAGGAAGGCAGGACTCATCTTGGGGGAGGCTGAGCTCCATGTGATGAGCATAGTAGAGTGCTTTATAAGAAAAAAGGAAGCTGAGGATAGAGAAGGGGAGGAACGCTCTCCTGGTGCTTGGAAGCAAGCAAGCAAACATCAGAAGCCCCCTATGAGACACCTTTCCATGGATGGGGAGCCCGAAGAGACCCCCTTAGATCTCTGCTCCAAAGCCTCGGAAAGGCGGCTCAAGGCACGGGTTTTGTCCAGGAGATAAAGTAACTTCTCAGGGCAGTTGTGTCAATGGTACTAGGCTATAACTCCATACAACTGGGGTCAGCTTCACATTTTTAGCCACTTTATGAAGAAAAATGCACTGGATTAAACATTATTAGGAGAAACCTGGAATTTTTAAGAAGGTTTACACTGGGGCCAAGAATATTCTTTCAAAGCCTCCCTGTTTCAGACATTAGGGCTTGGAGTAGAAAGAGCCAGTGTGCTCGGAAAAGCAGGGTAAACCACTCACAGATGGCCAAATGGAATTTTCATTTTGGAGATATTTTATTTCTATGCTTTTCAAGTCAGTCTAAATAAACCTGATGTCCCTGGAGGTACACATGAGACCAATTAGTGAAGAGAAAAGAGATCACTTGCAGACAGTTGTATATGTCTGAAGTAGGTGGCGTTTCCTTCTCCAAAAGCTGGACAGACGTTTGTGAGGCGAATGTAGTGAATGTGAGGATGGCAAGGACCGAAATCAAGTGTTAAAAACCAGTGTTCCCCACAGCCTCTCAAATGGAAATGAACTATGGGGGAGTCGGCATTCCAATTCTGTGTCTCTGTGAAGGCTTTCCATTCAGGATATATGTGGCCCTGGGCTGGACCTCCATGAAGTTGCCCCTTCCCCACCTGGTTTTTCTGGGAGGCTGGCCATGTTGTGGCTGGCACTGCATGCCATCCCATATGGGCATCTAACATCTGTTCATTCTACGGATAACCTAGCTCTTACTAGGAGCAGGACACAGCATGTCATCTGCCCACAATACTACATACAGTTTGATCCTTCTGCTGAAAGGTGCTGGTTGCATACAGCAAGCCAGGGCCCAGGCACTAGGCCGCCCTTCCCTCCCCAGGACTCAGCACTGAGCCTGCTTTAGCCACCTTGCTCTTCAGCCCCCGTTACCTCCTTCACGGCCTCCGCCAGTCTCTCCTCTCCTGGAGTGAGGCACTTTAGCTCAGCTCTCGGCTGAATGGCCTCGGTGATTAGCTTGCCATGTCTCAAGATGATTTCTATAGTAGCACTTTCTGGGGTGGCCACTAAAGAAAGTAAAGGGGATTAAGAAAATCAATAGCACAACTATGAACATCATATTTTACCCTTCACCTTTTCTAAAAATCTACTCTTCACACTGAGAACAAGCCTCCATCTCCCCCCTCTAACTGGAAACTTGAAACGTGACAAACTACACTAATCAAGAGAATACCAGAGAACTCAAGTTTATGGGGAAAAAAACCCCTAACTGGGCATTAAAACCTTAGCAAATGACTGTGTCCTTGAACTCACTTTTCTACTCCAGCTGCTGGTGTCTGATGTCCAACCCAAAGGGGATCATTCCCTGTTCCCAGAGCCCATCTGGCAGGTCTCCAGCATGGGGCAGCAGGGCAGCAGAGCTCAGGGCAATTACCTGCTTGGAAAAAATAGTCAGCGCCGGGCTCCTTGTGCATCTCCTCCATGAGCAGGTTTAGCGGGCATGGCTCAGCTGTCTGGGCCCCCAGCAGCACCTTCCAAATGGCCCTCCCCAACAGCGGCTGTCCTTCCAGCACTGCGGAGACCAGGGCGCCAAAGCCACCACGCCCGCTGTCGCCTTTCACAAGCTGTTCCATGGCCTTCAAAAACAGGCACCAAGCACACACAGATCAGAAGCCAGGCATTTAAAGGTAGCAATATATTCAATTCCAGTGAATCTCACAAGCATTTACAAAGTGCCAACTATTTCCAAGGCACTGTGCTAAGTGCAGAGACACCAGGGCACCATCGCCACCACAGCCCTTTTCTCCTAGGAGCTCCTGGGGAGACACAACGTGGAAGCAAAGACACACAAGCCAGTCTAAACAGGGGAGAGGGCGCTGATGACCAGAGGCACCAGGACAAATCCTAAAAAGAGAGTCAGAGCAGAACGCGGCAGGAAGCCCAGGAGGCTGAGGGCAACAGTAAAGGGGGTGAGCATCCCAGGTCTCTCTCGTCCTTTTGGTCCCCTAGCAGGGCAGTTTCTCAGGAGAGTGATGCAAAGGCAAAAGGACACTGTGCTAAGGGGTGCCCATTCCTTCTTGGCCCTTCCTCTCTTTCCCTGACTTTGCTGTTGGGCACTTGTGCAATGATGCTGAGCAAGTCATTGACTTTCTCTGGGCCTCAGTTTCTGGGGTGAGGATAAAAACTGGGGTGCTTAGCCTCGCTTTGTGTCATGGACCCTCCCTTTGGGAGTCAGTCTGGTTTAACTTATGGACTCCTTCTCAGAATAGGGTTTTGACGCATAAAATACAATCCACAGGATTACAAAGGAAACCAGTTATGTTGGAATATAGTTATCAAAATACTTTCAGAAAATAAGTTCTTCACAGTCCCCAGGGGAAGAAGCCCTGGCCCAGGTGATCCAGCCCTATATCCTCTGACCTGGCAACGTCCCATGCAGGGCCACAGAGCCCTCACCACCACTGACATTCAACCAAATGCACACTTGAGTCACCGAGGAAGGTGGCAGGGAGACACCTCATTCCTCTGCTCTCCATGGAGACAGGGACTTTGTATCATCTCCCCTCTGGATTTCCCTTAGAGTGAGACAGCGCTCTGCACACAGTAGGTGTGTAATGACAAGTGTTGTATCTGCATTTTGCTGCATCCATGATTCTAGAACCCAGGTTCAAACATCAGATCCTAGGTGAATCTAGGCAAGTTAACCTTTCTAGAAGTCAAATTCTTCATCTGTAAAATTAGAGGCTTGGAGAGAAGAGACCACGAGTCTCTAACCTTTGCTGTCATGGACCCCCCCACCCCACCCCGGCCTGGCAGTCTGGTAAAGCTCATGGACCTTGTTCTCAGAATGTTTTGTTGCCTATGTTCATAATTGAAGGAAATGATAAAATTCAGTTCAGGGTTAGTGAAAAAAGATGTAATTTTTTTTCCCATCCAAATTCAGGGACCATGGAGTGGGGGGCTATTAACTCCAGGTTAAGAACCCCTACTTAAATGATCTCTAAGACCTCTTTTTGCCTTCTACCTCTTCGTCATCGCTGTGAAAATCTCTACCACCCCATCCTCCTTGGATGGGCCTGGAGTCAGGAAGACCTGAGTTCAAATCTAGATTCAGACACATTAGCTGTGTGACCCTTGGCAAGTGACTTACTCTATTTGTCTCAGTTTCTTCAACTGTAAAACTGGGATAATAACAGCACCTACTACCAGGTTGTTATGAGGATGAAATGAGATAATATTTTTAAAAGTGCTTTGCATATTATAGGTGCTACCTAATGGCTTATTCCCTTCCCTCCCCATGTCCTGGTTTGGAGACTCAGAATTCTCCTCCTTCTTCTCCATAGCTCTCCTTTTGTATCTGTCAATTATTGAGGCAAGTCAGTAAATGTCTGTGAAGCACCTACTATGTGCCAGGCACTGTGCTGTCAGTGTTCTTGCTGCTCCACATTCTGATTCTTTGTGTTTCTGCACAGCCCTGCCTGAAATGGACGCTCTCTCTCCTCACCTCTGCCTCCCGGCTCTCCTCTGTCTCTAACCATCATCAGCTCAAATGCCAGCCCTGCCAGAGGCCTTTCCTGGTCTGCCCCACCCCCAGCGCCTGCTGAGATGACCTTCTATTTGTACTGTACATGTCTCGCATGTACCTTTTTACATGTTGTCTCTCCCACTGGAACATGAGCTTCAGGGAGGGCTGGAATCAGCCTTTCTTCACATCCACAGTGATCAGTGCTGTGCCGGGCACATAGTGGGTCCTTAATAATGATCTCAGAACAAACTCAAACACAGAGATACTCACAAACATCCCCCCTCTCTTACCTCTCTTTCTCCAGAAGTTAAACTGCTTGCAGATGAGATCACCTTTAGTAACATTTCATTGTCAGTGAAAATTTCAGAGAGGTTTTCATGGTATCGTCTCAAGAGCTCAGTCCCAAAATCATCAGGGCTTGGTTGGACTGTAAGGACATTATCAAAACAATAATGTTGGATGCAACATGACCTCCTTAAGGGTTTCTCCTGCAGAGACTGAGGGGGATTACAAATGAGAAGGGGGAGAGGGCGTCAATGCAAAAGCTTCATCATCTTCAGAGCTGGATTCAACTCCCACCTTGGGACAGAGTGAAAATGTATGAATGATTTTGGCTAAACCTCCCCGGGTCCGTATTTATCCAGCTTTTTTCTACAGGACTTCAGAGCCCACTAATAACTGCTCCTGCACATGCTGCACTGCAAGGTTTGCTAAATGCTTTATTCTGCAACAACCCAGGAAGTAGGGAGGGGCAGGATGAGCAACACCTCCCATCTCCCGCTTTAACAGAGGAATAAAATGAGAGAGATTCAATGACTTCTGCACCGCAACACAACCAGGGCTAGGGCCAGGATTGCAAGCTAGCTCTGCTCATGCCCAGTCCAGAGCCCTTACCATCATCCCAGCCGGCTTCTCAGAGAGGAACTGACGCTTTCAGCGCCGCTTCCTGACACCTACGCCTCAGAGGAGTGAAGGGCCAGTCTGTTATGCTCCTGATTTAAACTGTCCTATTGCTCCCTCATTCTCGAGAGTACTAAGTTTGGCCAGAATTTTAAAAATTAAAATAAAGCACAAACATATTAGACTCAAACTTATATGTCTTTAAAACTGCCCACTAAGAGATCTAAATAGTTATAAAAGTTTAAAATAGGCTGAACTGTTCTGGGTCAAGAACCAGGATCAGTTTTGTTTCAAAAGCACGATTATTCTTCCTGCAGAATTCTTGAGCTTGAGCAGAAGGCCACCAAACTGGGAATAGAGATTTTGAAGCTGTGCTATTGTATCAAGGTTACCTCCAAGGAAGAGTAAAAAGAGCAAGGCTGGAGGTCACAACACTTGGATCTGACCTCTCCTGCCCCCACCAACTAGTTGCGGGCCTCGAGCAACCCTGGCCCTTTGAATCCCTGACCCACTTCAAGGCCCAGCTCAATGCCACCTCCTTCCAGAGGCCCTAGTTCTTACTGCTCTCCCTCTAAACCACCAGGCATTTACTTTGTATCTATTTATTAAGTTCCTGTATTTATCTATCTGTGAACATATTGTATCCCCCAGGATATGGAAGTTCCCTGAAGGCAGGAATGTTTCGTCTTGGCATGGTTACCCCAGTGCTTAGCACCGTGCTTGGCACACAGTAGGTGCTTAATACATGCCTGCTGGTTGATTGCTGGAGCTCCTCTGTGCTTATATGAAGGAGGCAGAGGGAGGAGAAGGGGCTGGGGTTCTGGTGCTATCTCATCAGCAGCCGTGGCTGGCCAAAATCATGTCTTATTTCATCAGTCGTGGGCCAAAATTCTCCAGAGGCTAAGCAGAGGGGACAGCTGGCATCTCCGTGGTGTCTCTACCCTAAAACACACTCTATTTATGCACACACACTGAACTCTGCAGGTGGAAGAGTATGAGGAAACTCGAGAGGGGGGGAGGAATTGAGATGAAGGAAGTTCCACTTTCCTGGAGCTGGGTACCTGTCTAGTTTCTGTTTCCGAGGGCATTTTTCAACAGCCCCTTTCCCTTGAGCCCCTCCCCAGCCCATACACAGACACACACACACACACATACACACCCCTCTCCAAAGGCACTGCATGGAATATATTTGTAGATATCAGGGCTCTAGCCCCAAGACTTGACTATTAACTGATACCTGTAGTGCTTGGCACACTTGCTTGTTTCTGTAAATCCTTCAGCAGAAGGTCCAAGTTGGGGAATGTGATCTTCACAGCCTGAAGGAGTTTAACCAAACTCTCAGCAGTCAATGTTTTCTCTTCAGTCACTCTGTGCAGCAAATTTTCTATTGTCTCCTTGGGTGTTCCGCCCTCGCAGCAATTCAAAATCACCTGCAGCGGCGGGCAATCAAGCAGACACCAGTCACTGGCAATGCTAAATTTATCTGACACACAACTGCAAAACCCAGCGAGGCTGCATTACAAGACGCCCCGATCTTCTTCTGCTCCTCCTGGCCTCCACTTCCTTCCTCAGCCCCTTCATTAATCCTTATTCTGTCTCATGAAGAAGAGAAACAAAAATGCTTTTTCTCCCCAATGGAAAAGAGACGGAACAGAACAGAATTAGAGATTACAGAAAAATCTGAGGAATTCTATAAAACAACAGACATGTAAATAACTGGGGGGGGGGGAGAAAAAATACTGGGAGGAAAATTTGCAGCAAATCTGCCCTATAAAAACCCAACATCAAAAGCTGACCAGAAACTGAAAGATAGACCAATACCACAATCCATGATGGATAAACTGTCAAAGGACACGAATAGTCCATTTACAAAAGTAGATAAGCAAACTGCATATAATGACAGCAGAATGGTCAAGGAAATACAAATGAGAACATCATGGAATTGGCAACAAAACTCAACCCTGGTGCAGCTCTGGGGAACCAAGGATGCTCATCATAAACATCGCACTATAAATGGGTGGAGTTGTTTCCAGAAAGCAATTTGGTAGAATGCTGCAAAGCCTACCTGTGAACTATAAATGTAATACAATGTTTTAACGTCATTAAGAATATACGCCGCTTGAGGAAACACGGACGGGAGAATCAATACTGTAGGGGACAGACCACCGAACCTGCAATTCAGGAAGCTGTGTGATCCTGGGGAGAAGGCTTAACGTCTCTGAGTCTTGGGCAGCTCTTTAAGACAATCTAACAAATTCTTATGCCAACGAAATAACAGATCTCTGAACTATTGTCATATGGAAAGACTTATACAAAAGTTAATCTAAGTAAGAATGAAAGAGGGCAAGGCTAGGAGAACAACTGGCTTTGGTTTTAGTTGCATTAAAGGGAAAATAGTTTATAAGAATGTAAGGGATGAAAGACAATGATTAGAAGGACACGGAATGAGTTACCATGTAATATAAGTATGTGTGTACATACAGATATATAGTTATATATATAAATACATAATATATACACATACACATATACGCTTTACACACACACACACACACACACACACACACACACACACACACACACTTTTCAGATAAACTATTATCTAGCCAAGTCTCTCCCTCTTGGACTTGGTGAAACTGATTTTTTTAACCTAAGCATAAGACTATAAGTTTAGACTATTAACATATATCATATAATTATATATATGTAGTTACATATAGTTTTAAGTGTATATATAACCAGACTGATGCTTAAAGTTCTTAATAAACTATTTTGAAACAACTAATACCATGAAATCTTTTTTTTCATCCTAAGTACATGAATGCAATTAGTATAAATCCTTTTTTCTCCATTGGCTTACATTTGGGGAGAACTCGTTTGCCTCTTTTTCAATTCCTCTCAACCGTGATATTTATGCACCAGTCTCTAGGCCTGATATTAGCAACCTTCTCTTCTATGCGCTATTATTTCACCTAGGCTCCTTCTTGTCTCCTAGTCTCATCCTTGGAAGGATAGACACAGCAGCTTCTTTAATCACAGGATCACAGGGCTTAGAACTGGAAGAGATCCTAAAGATCATCTAATCTACTTCCCTCATTTTACTCGATGAGGAAACTGAGGTCCAGAGAGAAAGTGACTGGCAAGGGCTGCAAAGCAGCATCAAGGAGGCTTTCTATTCTCTGGCTGATAACAATAACTGTGATAATGACTGTGATCACCTCCTTAATCCTGGATCCCATGCACCTCTAAATGCATCCTAAAATTATATTAGCTTTCTTGGTTGTCACATCATATTATTGATTCATACTGGGTTTAGTGTCCACAGACATCTTTCAGATAAACTGTTATCTAGCCAAATCTCTCCATCCTGTACTTGGTGAAACTGACTTTTTTAACCTAAGCATAAGCCTTTATATTTAAACTATTAAGCATCTGATTAGATTGAGCCCAGTGTTCGAGGCCTGTGGGAAGGTTTTTCAATCCTGATTTAGCCATCCAATACGTTATCTTAACTTTTCTACCTTTGTGCCATTTGCAGATTTGATAAGCATGTCATCTATGCCTTTAACAGGTCATTCCTAAAAATGTTAACTAGCACAAGAGGCCAAGGTCAGGCATTAAACTCCAAAGGACTGCTTCGGGGGCTGATCACTTGTCCAGTTCCAAATACACATCCCTCTGTACTATTATCTACCCCATATTTCTCCTTCTTGTCAACATGCAAAGCATGATAAATGATATCAAATGCTTTCCTAAAATCTAGGTAAAGGCTCTTTATGACATTCCTTAACTCACCCATTCTAATAACTGTGTTGAAAAAGGAAATGAATTTAACCCTGTTTATTTTGTTTTTTAAAGTTTTATTGAGGCCTCTTGTGTTTGCATCACAGTCACTTCCAGGCATATCCCTCCCTCATCTCCCTCTTCAACTTGAAAACGGTGAAGAAAAACCACCCAGTACATAGACTATATACCTGCCAGTGCATACAACATTCCACCTCCCTATGTCCCCACCTCTCCAATGAAAGAAGGGAGGGACGTTGCCCCACTTGCGCTCTAGGACAAAAGCTGAACACTGCCGTTACACACTGCAGCCTTCCCTTCGGTTGGGGTTTTTAAGAGATCTGGATCTTTCTTGATAGAGCCACGTCAGCTGCTTTTGATCACACTCCTGCGTCTGGATGGGCCCTCACCAATCCTTTCATGACACCTTTTAACTTGAGACAGGAACCACAGTGAAGCTCACTGGTCTGTTGTTGTCAGACTCCACTCTCTTCCATTTAAACAAAAAATCTCCTCACAAACAGCCAACACAAAAACAAACTCCTTTATGTCTCCGTTGACCTTTCTGGCCAGATTTCACTCACTGTGAGTACTCCTAGCACTAATTTTTTTTATTCAGAACTTAATCGCCCCCCCCCAAGAGCATTTCCACACACACAGTAGGCCACAAAACGAGGATTCCACACGAAACCAGGACCCTCCATTTCACACTGCTTGCTCTTGTAAAAGTATACATAAGAAATTTTACGGATTATACTTTTAAAACTATCCTGCTTATCTTTGCTTCTTTCTGGTTTTTTTTTTCTCCACTTGGAGAAATCAAAAAACAAACACAAAAACAAAAACAACTCTTGCAACAATGCCGCACCGCCATGCAAAAGGAGTGCAGGTGACGGCCATGGCCATGACTTCCTCTACACTAGGTGTCCCTCCCCTCTGTCGGGAGGGGCAACATGCAGCATACAAGGTCCTCTGGAGACAGAGCTGGGCACTCCACTGATCAGAGCTCAGAAGGCTGTAGGAGCTGCTCTTCACAGTGCTGTGGTCTGTGCATACGTGGTTTTCCTCGTTCTGCTCAGGAAGTCTGTTTTGCTTGTAACTACTCCTTGCCTGGCATTATCCTAATATTAACATGCCGCCCTTCCCTGACCGTTTCCCTGTTGAGTCTGATGTAATTCTTCACCCAATTCTGGGTCCCTCTCCTTTGTGCCTTTCTAATAAGAATGCGGCTCATCACTCCCTCCCATCCATTCCTCCATGTTTACACGCTCTCTTCATGTTTCCCAATGATGCTAAGGAGCAAGTTTCACCCCTTTCTTCCTTCTTTCTGCACGCATGTAGTTCTTTCACCCTTCTTTCTCTTTTGACTCTTAAAGCTCCCAGGACAGAACCAATTTACCCTAGGACCTTTTGGTACTTAATTAATGTTTTCTTAGCTGGATCTGTGCACTTGTCCAGGCTCTCTGCTGGCTTCTGAGCTCCTAAAACACTCAGCACGGTATCTCACACCCAGTGCACACTCCAAAGTCAAATTTAGGGCCTAGCATTTACTATCAATCTCCAGGGTATTAGGCATTAAGATTAAAAAATGCTTCCCAAGTCTCTCTCAGACACATTAAATAGGTTTATTATAATTTGAGGACTGGTACTCAAAAAAGCCCATCAATATTGTGATTCTTTCCTTTCAGAAATATAAATCCTTATCCAGTACAAATAGGTGAAATCAACAATTTCTTCCAAATTTGATTAGCCTATGAAGTCATGCCAAGAGTTCTACTCTTTCTCTTGGCATGAGGAGGAGTAGGAAAGTGCTGAGAGAAACATCTAATAGCTAAGATGTCTTTAAAAGATCTGTTGGCAAGAAACAAAATAAAAAACCACAAACTTTTTTCAGAACCAAATATTCCCTCCCTGTTAATAAAGCCATTCCAATCTAAAAATCTTAATTTTAAATTCGTGTATGAAAAAACCCTCAAGGTGCCGGGTTAAGTCGGTCAGAGCACAGGTCACTTCCAGTGGTCCCCATCCTGCCCCACCCACTCGCCTCTTTTTCCACGCAGGTCAGAAGGTCCCCCGGGGCTGTCTCTAGGAACTCCCTAATGGGTCTCAGCTGGGTTACGCTCTGTATCAGGTCCTCTTTGTGTTCCAGTAACAGGATGGACAAGGTCTTTCCCTCCTCGGTGCTCCCTGGGGGAGAGAAAGTGTTAGAAACACACAAGAGAGACTAGTCAATTTGAAGAAAAATGACAGCTTGGTTTGTCGAGGGAGATCTAACAGAATAGTAAAGCGATCCACGGCTTCTTCCGAGCACCAGAATGCAGATGCTCTTTTAGCAAAGGAAAACACTTTATTATTCTGTTTAAACTTTATGAAAGGAAAACGTTTCCTTTTTCTGATGGATCACAAAGCTGCAAAGCCAGCCAGAGGTTAACTTCGAGTTGGCAAGGCTACTGCTTTGTGTCTAACCCAAATGAGGAAGAAACTCAAGCCCTTCAGTTCAGTTAGAGGGCCAATTTACCTTGGACGCCCAACCCATCGATCTGGTAGGCCTTCTTATTTTTTTTTTTTTTCTGAAGGGCATGAGAACACTGCTCGTTTTCTCCCAATTTAAGGTATAAGACCAGTTATCCTAGCAATGGAAAAGCTAATTTTGCTTTTATAGATACATCATACAGCTATGAGAATTGTACATAGCACAACTCAAGTGAAAATCATATGAACAGATAACCAGGCCTATGGGGATAATTAGAGCTGAACTCTGAAAGCCCCTTCAATGAACACAACAGACTGACTCAAATGACGGGAGTTTTCCTACTTTTCAGCTGCGTGTTTTCTCCATCTTCTGGCTCTCGCTTTTGCAGTGCTGCTCTTATTTCAGGGTGGGTGTCCTGGAACAGCTCCAACAAAGACATCACAGTCTCAACATCGAGGCACTCATTGTTTCTGACTTTACTGAGGATTCTTTTGAATGTCGAGATTCCTTCTTTAGCTTCCAGACACTCCAAGATGGCCTTTTGAACAAAAGATTCCAGGAAGAGTAATCGGCAACCCTGTTTAATTCCCCTCTGCTCTGCTTGGTGGCTTACTGCGCCCTACAGTCATGAACCTGACACCCATACCTCCACATCCAGGGCTTCCAGAATCCACGCTACTAGTCTCTGGAGAATTTAATCTATTCATCACTAGAGCTGCTGCCCTAGGACCCCACCTCACCAACTGCTTGCTGACCCTAGACATCAGTGCAGGATTCAGCTCACTATCCCCCCAACAATACAGGCCATCGTCCTACCATCTACCCACTGACACTGTGGCCCTCACACTTCTCCTCCTGCACTGTCCTCTGCATATAACAGTCAGATTTATAATAATAACATAAACATGTCAACATTAGAATGTTCTAAGAGGCTCCAGTTTTCTAAACTACAGAAAGTGTCATATTCGTTTTGAATACAAGTTAAGCCTTCCTAATTTGGACTTATTTAGGGAGACAAGTAAATCTGAATCAGTGAAATTTCTAAATTACAGGCTATTTCAAAAGGAATCCGGTTTTGTTATTTTCAGATCTTGCACAGCATAGTGAAAAGACTCCTAGCTTTGGAGTCAGAAGACCTTGATTCAAGTCCTGGTTTCTGCTACTTATACCCTACCAACTTCACTGGGACCGAAGTTTTTTCATTGAAAAAATGAGGGCGACTGGACAAGAAAATCTCCAATACTCCTTCTAGCTCTAAATTTATCATCCTTATCATATCACATAATCATAGAATATTAATGCCAGAAAGGATGTTAGAAATAATTTAACCTAAGCCACTAATTTAAAGAAAAACCAGCAAAAAAACTCTCAAGTTTTCCTGATGCTTTAATATCCTCCAAATCCTTCCCTTGTAGCAAAGAAAAATTGTTTTAAACAAAACCCACTGCTAGGAGCGTACCACTCCACAGCTATGATCCCTCTCCAGTGAAAGAGGGAGGTCCATTCTCTCAGCTCATCCAGGGCCACAATTAGTCATCATAATTATGCAACATTTGGCTTCATTTTAGTTACTGTGTAAATTATTTCTAGTTCTGCTAAATTCACTCCGTAACAGTTTATAAAAGACTTCCTATGTTTCTGAGATTCCTCTGGTGCTGAGCACTACCATTCTCCTGCATTCCCGTCCATTCCTCAATCAATAAGCACCCACCATTGCTCCAAGTTTTTCTGTATCAGCTTCAGAAAATCTGATGTGTACATGACCTCTGCATAAGTACACACAGACGTATGAGTATGAATGTGAGTGTGAGTGAGTGCAGGATCTCCGTGGTAAGGACAAAGGTTATTTCCATCTTACTGAGACAAAGCCTGCAGAGGAACAGTGATGCGGCCCAGGTCACGTGGCTGGCTAGGGGCAGAGCTACAGTTCCAAGGAAGCAAATCAGAACTCAGCGCCCTCTGCTCTCCTCTGGCCTGGCAGACAGTTCCTTCTCAAGCTCTTGCTGGCTTCTCCTCCACATCACGCCCTCTCACCATAGGTGTCCCTCAAGACTCTGTCCTGAGCCCTCTTCCCTTCACCTTCTGTACTGCCTCACTTGGATCTCATCAGCTCCCAGGGACTGAATGACCTTGTCTATGCTAATGATTCTCAAATCGACTTACCCTGCCCCAACTTCTCTGTCCACCTCCAACCTCACATCTCCAACTGTCCTTCAGACACCTTAAATTCAACATGGCCCAAATGGAACTCATTATCTTCCTCCCTAAATCCTCCGACTTTCCCTATTACTGCCCAGGATACCCCCAGCCTCCCAGGCCCTCAGGCTCCCAACCTAGGAGTCATCCTGGACTCCTCACTGTTTCTCACCACCCCCACTCCCATACCCAAGCTGTTGCCAAGTCCTATTGATTTCACCTTTGCATCATCTCTAGAATACGCCCCCTTCTCTCCTCTGACACTGCTCCTACTCAGGTACAGACCTTCATCATCTCATGCCTAGACTAGTGCAATAACTGCTGGTGGGCTTGCTGGCCTCAGGTCTCTGTCTATTCCAATCCATCCTCCATTCAGCCATTAAAGTGATCTTCCTAAAGCTCAGGTCCAATCATGTCACACACACACACACACACACACACACACACACACACACACACCCCTTGCTTAATAAACTCCAGCAACTCCCTGTTGCCTGCAAGAGCAAATGCAAAATGCTCTGATTGGCATTCAAAGTCCTTCCTAACTGAGCCCTCTCCTGCCTTTTCAGGCACCCCACTTACACCTTACTCCCCCAAACATACTATTCCATCCAGTGAGATTGGCCTCCTGGCTGTTCCACAAAACAAGACACTCCATCTCTTGGCTCCAGGCATTTTCTCAGGTTGTCATCCATGCCTGGACTGCTCTCCCTCCTCCACTCTGACTACTGACCTCCCTGGCTTCCCTTTAGTCCCAACTAAAATCCCACCTTCTACAGGAAGCCTTCCCCAACCTTCTTCATTCTTGTGCCTTCCTTCTGTTAATGATTTCCTATTTATCTTGTATATAGCTTACTTTGTAAAAATTTATTTGCATGATGTCTCCCCATTAGACTGTAAGCTCCCTGAGGGCAGGGATCGTCTTTTGCTTCTCTTTGTATCCCCAGCACTTGCCACAGTAGGTACTTAATAAATATTTACTGATTGGTTGATAGATATATAATTCACATATTAATCATCTGGCTCTCTGTCATAATATGCATTATATATGTGCGTATATATATATATACTATTACACACAATATGGGTATATATGTATATATGTATGTATGTATATACACACAAATATATTATGTATGTGCATATCACACAAACACATATAACCTTAGAAATCAAGACAAGGATTCAAGGATTACAAGATGAACGTGAAATTCCGTGTGCGAGTGTGTGTGTGTGTGTGTGTGTGGGGTGGATAAAACACATAAGAGGAGTCTCAGTTGAAAATGTCTACCAAGAACCCCAGAGTCACCCCGGACTCCTCACAATCAGCTGCCAAGCCTTTTACATTCATCCCCTTCTCTCCATTTATGTAGCCACTCTCACAGTACTGACCTCTCGTCACTTCTTCCCTATTGAAATAGCCTTCTAATTGGTCTCATCACTCCATCTCTCTCTACTCTAATCTATTCTTCACCGAGCTGCCAAAACAGTATTCCCAAAGCAGAGATCTGACTCTCTCTCCTGCTCAATAAAGTCCTATGGCTCCCCGTTACTTCAAAGGTCAGAGATATACTCCTCTGTTTGTCATTTAAAACCCTTCACATCCTGGCCCCAACCTACTTTTCTAGCCCCATTACACACCTGCCTTTTCATACTCTGCAGTACAGCAAAACCAGCCTTCTTACAAGCCCTTTTACACCACACTTCACCTTCTGTCTCTGCCTTTGCACTGACATCTCCCATGCCTAGACTGTATTGCTCCTGCTTACCTCTACCCTCCAGGCATGGCTCGAACACCAACCTGATCTCATCCCCACCCCCAGATGTTAGTGACTTCTTTCAACAATTATAGGATCACAGATCCGGAGCTAAAAGGGACCTAAGAAGCTCTCTAGTCCAAACTCCTCATTTTACAGATATGGAAAGGAGAAGCTAAGGAAGTTAGGTGACTTGCCCAAAGTAACACAGGTAGTGCTGGAGGAAGGATCTGAAGCCAGGTCCAGAACCCAGGTTCTTTTCCATGGTACTAGGCTGTCTTCCTTTACCCTATTCTCTATTTTGCCTGCAATTGTCTATGTACATTTTGCCTCCTGGGCTAGACTGTCTGTTTTACTTTTGTTTTGGTATCCCCAGATCTCACCGAAGTGTCTGGGAAAGACCACCACAATGGTTGTTAAATGGTGCTGAAACATTACTTGGCCAACTTCTATTTATAACATGGGTCCTCTGGTCCTGCCCAGCCCCACCCCTGTTCTGTCCATTAACAGCCGTCCATGGAGCTGCCAGCCACTCAACAAGGGCCCTAGTGTTTCCTAGTGAGCCTCTGCTTACTACAACTGTCCCATGGTTTTGGTCTCATCACATATAGCCATGTCCACTCCACATATCTGCATGAGCTACAAATACAAGCAGCTAAGTGGCAGCATAGTTCATAGAGCATTGGACTTGGGGTCAGAAGACTCATCTTCCTGAGCTCAAATTTAGCCTCAGACACTTGGCAGCTGCGTCACCTTGGGCAAGTCACTTAACCTGTTTGCCTCACTTTTCTCATCTGTAAAGTGAGCTGGGGAAGAAAATGGCAAACCACTCTTGTATCTTTGCCAAGAAAACCCCAAATGGGGTCACAAAGAGTCAGACACGATGGAAAAATGACAACAAATAAAAAGCTGGTTAAGCAAGAGTAAATTCTCAGTATATTCTCTGTAAGGATTATCTCCATTTCTGCCGTACTAGAGCACTGATTAATGAGATTTGACTGCTAAACTACACTAAATCCTAGCGCACCTTTCTTCCATTAAGTTCAAAATGCCTGACAGCCATTATCTCATTTTAACCAAAACTCCCTTGTGAGGCCAACTGGGAGAGGGGGGAATGTGTATCAAAGAACAAACAATTCTGAAGTGCCCATCCTATGTGGAGCCTGGTGCTTGGGGCTGAGAGAGATGCCAACAACCAATTTGGAGGGCCCACTGAAATTGGAGCAAAAAATACTGTGGAATTTCCACTGTCACATTTTTGTGATCAAATAATAGTCAACCCCAAAGTAGGATGCATGCACATACCCCAAGGGGCCTTACAAGGGAGTCACTGGTACACACTGAAGGCAGTTGTAATGCTAGTGAAATAATTTTAATAACAGTGTTAATTCATGTCATTTGGCAAGGAATTTAAAAAGAAAAAAAAACTAGCAACCTGGCTAGATTTTAACTCAAGCATGACAGAAGTATACTTAAATACACACACACACACACACAGACACACACACACACACAGACACACACACACACACACATATATATATACATACACACATACACATATATACATTATTATTTAAGTTTT